CTTGGCATGGCGGGCCAAACTGCTGGAGATACTCAGTGTTTTGAGTACACACAATCACGGCTATATATTGCAATACGATAAATTCAGGGCGAACCATACAGTCCAGGTCACACGCACAACACAAACTTATTCCCAAATTTATTAACCGATATAGCGGCTAGCATAGAGTAGCAGGTCGAGAGACGATAGATGAATTAACTGATGCTGCGTCCCGCTCTGATCTTCTTTCGGTTCAGTCGCTGCTTGCGCTGCTGCTCGGGTTGGCGAAGACGTCGTCGAGAACATCTTGGTCGACGATGAAATCCTCCGGATCAGGTGCAGCGCCCACCAACGGAAAAAGCTCGGCGTCGGGAAACATCAGGTCTTCATCCATGAGGATCTCCTCCAGGAACATCCCATCTGCACCATCTTCCTGCACATCATTGCTTTGCGGCACCACCACATTCTCACCATTACCACCAAGGTTTTCGGTCTGCTGCTGCTGCTGTCCGCCGTCGCCGTTGCCATCGGCGACGTTTCCCTCTATAATCTCCGGTGGAATGGCGACGTCTCCCACTACAATCTCCGGTGGGATGACATCAGGATCAGTGTTGCCAACGGCGAAGGCCTCAACGTCGTTGGTCACCGGGTAAGCGCACAGGTAGTAAGCGGCAGGATGGACACTGGGCAGCGCCACTGCTCCTGCAGGCCCTGCCGGAGGAGGAGATGCCATAGTTTCAGCAGCAGAGTTTTCACCTGCGAAGCTAGTGCCGCTGTTCATGTCCAGGAAGAACGCGCGACCCGTAGTCGCGGCGTTGATGGGTGGGATAATCATCAGCCCCTCCGCCGTCGCTGTGGCTCCGATCGGCGCCGAAGGGAACGGAAACGGAACCGGCACGTAGCGAACGTCCGGCGGCGGCGAAGTAGGCGTGACAGGAAGCGCACGGGGACGAATTCTCCGCACCCCATGCACCGGCCGCCGAGGATTCGGGTCCGGCATGTGGCGCTTCCTGGTGATGAGCCTCGCCCTCGCCGCCGTCACCACGGGTGTTGTCGGCGTAGCAGCACGGCCGACCAGCCGCGCCTCCCGTTGGTGCTCGAGGAGCACGGTGGCGAGGAAGTCGTACGACTCGGTGAAGGCGATGGCCTCGGCGATGTCCGATTCCAGTATGATGCGGCGGTGGTGGGACTGGGCGCACGCCCAGGCGCGCAGGGCGAGCTCCTGCACGAAGAGCTCGCAGAGCTTGGCCAGGTACGCCGGCGTGTCGGCGGCGATCATCATGCCGTCCTCCTCGGCGCGGATGAGCCTCTTGAGGCGGGACATGGGCAGTATGCGGTCGTTGAAGTCCACCGTCGCCTCCATATCCTCCTGCCGCTCCCTCCAGAACTGGTCCACCGCCCGCTGCTGCGGCGCCGGCAGCGCCGGCCTCGGCCCCGTGCGCACCACCACGCGCTCCTCCCCCGCTCCCCTTCCTTCCTTCGCTTGCTCGGTCCCCATCACCCTGCGTTTGCATGCACGCACGCACGTACCCTCGATCAGTTAATGCTCAATCTCAGCAGTATCTGTAAGAACCAAACTAAGACAGATGTGTTACCTTAGCAAAACTGCAAACTCGGTCACTAGAGGTGATTGCGATGAGTGGGAAGATGGGCACGAGGAGGGCGGCCTCTATATAGTCTCAGCATCACGTATCTGTCCATTGTTTTGCTGAAACAGCTTTCGTCCCCACGCGCGCTTGAGCAAAGCAGACAAGCAGTCCTCGTGTTAAAATCTTAAAAAGGCCTGGATGCGTGCCACCCTAATTCACGCAAGACTGGATGCACGTACACCTGGTGCTCGCCCTCTCTGCGACGTTCCCTTGCTAAACTCTCCAGCCGCGCATGCTTATCTATGGACCATAGCCAGAAGTGTCTCTCAACATGCACTGCACATAAGCCTTCAGGGCGTGAGGGGCGCGTGAGCCGTCTGGGCCAGAAACGACGCCGGGTGCATACATACAGATACAGCTTTCCATTTTGGATGCTTTCCGCTGCATGCAGCCGTTCACTCGTGCTTTCTGTTGTGTATTTTTCCGTGATGCTCAAGGATGGATGTTTTGTTCTAAGATAAACTCAAGGATGGATGTATGTGTCCGTAAGTTTGCTAGCCACTGTTTTGAGAACGTGCGCATGCAAGGGGTTTGATCCATGTGTCCTGTGATCAGTTTCTATCTCATAAATAAGCACCAGCTGGCTTTCTGTTTAGCCCTTTATATGTGGAGACAAATCCAACTTTGGCGCCCTCTCCAAAGTGACACTGGTACAGTACAAACCTATCATTTGGAGTTTGCTATATAGTGAATCTTCACAACTTAACCAAAAAGTGAGTAATGCCCTTTGCAAGTATTTTTGAGTTAAAATGCTGCAATTCCGGGGATGCCAGTATGTATTAAAGTGAAAAATTGAGCGGTGCGCGAACCAATATGTGATTGGATGGTTAGAGGAACTGTGTTATCCCCAGCCCACCAGGGTTCAAGTCTTGGTGCTCGCATTATTCCTGGATTTATTTCAGGATTTCCGGCGATGTGCTTTCAGTGAGAGGTGACGTTCCCGTGAACGACAAGGCGCCTACAGTGACTTCGTGAATTTTAAGATGACATGCCGGCTCTTCTCCCATGCAATACATTCAACCTTTCATTTTACTTTACCTAATTTAAAACATCCATATCTTTTAAGTCATATATCCGGTTTTCGAAACTTTTCTTTATATTTGAACTCCTTGTTCCGTAACCTTTAAAATGAGACTAGTTTTGCATATTTTTTAACAACATTTAAATTTGAACGTACATTTCACATTTCGATGTAATCAGTTTCACAATGCTAAATTACAATTTCACTTTATGTAGTTAATATTTCACAATTCAGAACCTACATTTTACTTTTCACTGGCTTGTTTTACAAAAAATACATCTATTTAAAATGCACATTTGTCAAATAACATATTTCACTTTTTTATAATAAAATTGTTTCACATTTCCAAATAATCAGTTTCACATTGACACACTATAATTTCACTTTTTGTGGTTACTATTTTACCCAGAACCTACATTTCACAATTCAGAACAAACATTTCACTTTTCATTGTCTTGCTTCACATAAATCACATCTTTTCATTTCACATTTTTGAAGTAACATATTCCACTCTTCTGAAAACGATTGTTACACATTTCCAAATAATCAGTTTCACAAGTTTACATTCTACATTTCACATTTCACTGGGTTGTTTTTCACAAAATACATCTATTTCAGTTGCACATTTCTTAAATAAACTATTTCACCCTGTTGAAATAAATTGTTTCACATTTTCAAATAATCAATTTCACAAAGATGCATTATAATTTCATTTTATCTGATTGCTATTTCAGAATTGAGAACCTACTTTTCACTTTTCACTGGGTTATTTAAAAATATACATCTATTTCAATTGCACATTTTCCAAATAACATGTTTCACTCTTTTGAAATAAACTGGTTCACATTTCTAAATAATATGTTTCACAATTTGTCATTTCAGTCTCATATTTAGGTTTCTAATGAAATAGGTTGGTTTCACATATTTCCATTGAAATAGGATTTCACACATTTTCTAGTGAAATGGGTTTGTTTCACATATAAAATGTGAAATGTTGAAATTTAAAAGTGTTTGAAATGCATCTAAGATTGTTCTATTCTAAAGGTCTTGGCGCCAGGAGTTCAAATATATAAATTATTTCAAAAATGAACTTATAGTTTAACTGATAAAATTGATTTAATATTTTTTTGAAACAAGGCAAAAGATTTGTCATTTCATTAATTAAGAGAGAGTTGTAACAGAGTCCGAGGACAACAGCCATACAATGGCCAAGATAAATCAACTACTCACGGTGTAAAATTACATCAAGCCCTTTGGCACCCGCCAAAGCCCACATGGTCGCCTCATCCATGATTTTTTCCACGAGAATCATCAAAGGCACGGAGACGTTTCGGAAGACCCTAGCATTCCTCTCCTTCCAAAGTTCCCAAGAGATAAGCATGAGGAGGGAGGCCATCCCTTTTTCGTTAGACGAGCGCGTAAGCACCATCTCAGTCCACCAATGCCTGACACTTTGCATAGCCGCCCAGTCTGCTGTGACAATATTGCTCAGTCTGGTCCTCGCCTTAACCGCATTCCAAACTGCAACCGAGAATCGGCATTGGAAGAGGAGATGCGCCGCAGACTCCTGGACTTGGCTACAAAGGGGATACAAACCGCAGTTTGGCCACCCTCTCTGTTGTAATCTATCTGCCATCCATACTCTGTTGTGAATGATCAACCAAGCGAAGAACTTGCATTTTGGTGTAGCCCAGACTTTCCAAACGGTCTTTAGAAGTGGTGTGGAGGTGCGCCCCTCGAACTGTAGCGAATAGGCCGATGAAGTGGAGTAGCTACCACGCTCTGTAAGTTTCCAAATGATCGTGTCATTCGTGGCTTGATCTAAGATTATCCCGTCCAACTTCTCCCAAAGGATGGTAAACTCCTGTATGTGCTCGACGGTAATGCCATTTGCCATGTCAACTTGTGAAATCCATAGATCATCAGTGAGGGCCTTCCTGACAGAGGAATCTTTCTTTTTGGAGATCTCAAAGATTTTAGGGGCGATGTCCATCGGCCTGAGACCATCAAGCCAGGGGGACGTCCAGAAGGAAGCCTTGTCTCCATTTCCAACCACGACCCTCGTTGTTGCCGCGAAAAGGTCCCTGTCAGCCTCGTTGCAAGGGGTGCCTAACCCAACCCACGGCTTTGGCTGGTCCGCCCACTCGTTCCAAAGCCACCTCAAGCGGAGGGCAGTGGCAAATTTGTCCAGGCTTAGGATGCCCATGCCGCCCATAGCTTTAGGACTGCAAACTCTGTCCCAATTGATTTTACACTTGCCACCAGTGACTTTGTCGCAACCGGCCCAAGGGAATGCACGTCGTAAGGCATCAATACGCTTCATCACCTCCGCTGGCAGGATCAGTGAAGTAATGTTGTAGATAGCTATGGCGGTGAGAACCGCCTTGACCAGAACAGCCCTCCCAGGTGCGGCCATGAGGAGGCCAATCCAAGGGGCGAGCTGTGACGCCCCCGATTCAATCGTACACTAATCATGCACGCAAATGTGTACGATCAAGATCAGGGACTCACGGGAAGATATCACAACACAACTCTACAAATAAAATAAGTCATACAAGCATCATAATACAAGCCAGGGGCCTCGAGGGCTCGAATACAAGTGCTCGATCATAGACGAGTCAGCGGAAGCATCAATATCTGAGTACAGACATAAGTTAAACGAGTTGCCTTAAGAAGGCTAGCACAAACTGGGATACAGATCGAAAGAGGCGCAGGCCTCCTGCCTGGGATCCTCCTAAACTACTCCAGGTCGTCGTCAGCGGGCAGCACGTAGTAGTAGGCACCTCCAGTGTAGTAGGGGTCGTCGTCGACGGTGGCGTCTGGCTCCTGGGCTCCAGTATCTGGTTGCGGCAACCAGGAAGAAAGGAAAGGGGAAAAAGGGGGGAGAAAGCAACCGTGAGTACTCATCCAAAGTACTCGCAAGCAAGGAACTACACTACATATGCATGGGTATATGTGTAAGGAGGCCATATCAGTGGACTGAACTGCAGAATGCCAGAATAAGAGGGGGATAACTAATCCTGTCGAAGACTACGCTTCTGGTCACCTTCGTCTTGCAACAGGCAGAAGAGGGTAGGTCGACGTCCTCCAAGTAGCATCTCCAAGTAACATCTCATAGCATAATCCTACCCGGCGATCCCCTCCTCATATCCCTGAGGTAGAGCGACCACCGGTTGTATCTGGCACTTGGAAGGGTGTGTTTTATTAAGT